TACACAGAGCATATAGTGCATACATAAACGGAGGCTGTGTCTCCATAGCAACTCATACATTTATCATATAGTGGATACCTATACTGAGGCTGTGTCCTCACAGTAACTCACATATAGAGCATATAGTGCATACATAAACTGAGGCAGCGTCCTCATTGTAACTCATACATAGAGCCTATAATGGATACATATACTGAGGCTTTCTCCATAGAAACTCACACATAGAGCATATAGTGGACACATATACTGAGGCTGTGTCTCAATAGAAACTCATATATATATATATATCTCATATATAGGATACTTTTACTGAGGTGGTGTACTCACAGTAACTCTTATACAGACCACATAGCGGATACATATACCAAGGCCGTATCCTCCTAGTAACTCCTACATAGAGCATATAGTGGATACATATACTGAGGCCGTGTCCTTATAGTAACTCATACCTAGAGCATTTACTGGACACACTCTGTTCATATGTTAGAGCATAAAGTGAAAAACACACCGATGCTGTACCACCACCAGATCATGTATGGATACTGAGGCCCCGTGGTCTCATATGCAGTATATTCCTCCACTCTCTGGAAAAGCCTGCTTATTTGTGATAATGCACAGATAACAGCAATCAATGCCACATATCTTGATAGGAACAAGTGTGTGTGTGGACTTTAAAATCATATCCATGTGAGTACTTCAGTCACCCAGGGAAGTTCTCTTACCTTGGATATTTCTTCAGGACTGTGAAATTCCAGCAGACTTTATACAGCCAGGATATCCATTATTAGCACTCTTTTTCACAATGCCTTATTGCATCATAAGCACTCTTTTGCACAATGCCTCCTTGCATTATCAGCACTCTTTTGTACCAAGCATCCTTTCATGTATAACTTACCTAAATGCTCACCACACAAACCTCCTAAATGTGACCTATTTGTTAGAAGGAAGCCTAATGTAAGCAGCTGGGAGGGACTGAAAGAACAGAGACCCAGGTGCCTATACTAGTTTTAATCTAATTACTAATGCACTTACCTGAACAGCTGCAGGCCTGTGTTTCAACAGCAAAATGGGGATTTGAACAACTGACAGCCTAAACTGTTTAAACTATAGGCTTCCATCTGTACCCCATATGCAGTCCATCATCACCAGTGGGAGGAGGTTTAACCAACCCCATACAAGGTGGAACACCAAGAATAGGTATACCCAGGTAGTCACCTTATGGAAGTGCTGTTTACTGGGTCTTCAAGAATAAAGGCTTAGACTCGGCTGGGCCTCATGTATGCAGTGGACCGCTGTCATCCCCTCAGGGAGAGAGATAGGTCAGACTCCTGATTGCTGAAGGAGGTACCCAGGCTGGCAACTGTTACAGATGTGCTGTTTGCTGGGTCTTCAGGGATAAGAGGCTGAACCCTGGCCTGGTATTATGTAGGCAATATATCACATTCATCCCCTGAGTGGGTACCCAAGCTGGGCTGTTGCTGGGTCTTCAGGGATAAGAGTCTGAACCCAGGCCTGGCTTCCTGTAGGCAGCATATCACATTCATCCCCTGAGGGGGTACCCAAGCTGGCCTGTTGCTGGGTCTTCAGGGATAAGAGGCTGAACCCTGGCATGCAGTGGACCATTTTCATCCCTTAAGGGAGAGGTTGGGTCGGACCCCCGGTCACTAAAGGGGGTACCCAGGTTTGCAGTATTAACAATAGTGCGTTGCTGGGTCTTCAGGGCTTAGAGGCTGAACCCCGGCATGGCTACAAAAATATTGCCTGGTGAGCATAAAAGAAAATCTAGGCCTGCATAAGCAGAACTCCTTCCAAACTGCTGTGAAGGACAGGAAAAAAGACTGCCTGATGGGAAGGGGAGGATCTATTTATACCAGTTTCAGAGTTCCATTTCCTGTCCTTTCTGCTGTAAGGGGAGGAGCTAACCCATGAGTAAATGCTGCCATGAATAATGTCAGGAAAAAAGAGTTGTAGAGGGAATATATTTGTTTAGGGTGACGCTAAAGGGAAACGTGGAGAAGCTATGGAGATTGTTGGTTGGTATGGTATGAGATTAAAAAAATAAGGAGTATGGCGGTGGCGGATATTTTCAGTTTGGAAGAGGTAGAACTTATTTTAGAGCATCCTGAGGGGCATAGTATCCATCCATCCGTAGGACTCGTCTGATTTCTTTCCTTATGGATGCCATCTTCGTAATATGCAGTTCCTCGAGTGGATCTCGAAGCCAAGGAACTGGACCAGCTGGGAAGGAGAGAGAGACGACTTCTAACCGTTTACCACGAAACCCAAAGATTCCAGAAAGTGAACGACACATTTCGTGCAATCGTAGCCTGAAGGCAGATTCGCAGAAGATCAGCAAATCGTCCAAGTAAACAAGACATCGTACGCCCTTGGTTCGAATGTGTGCCATTACTGGCTTCAGCAGCTTTGTGAAGCACCACAGAGCCGAGCTGAGGCCGAAGGGCAGACGCGTGAACTGGCATGCTTGTCCTCTCTACCTGAAGCGAAGAAAGCGTTGACATTCTAGGGCGACGGGGATGGACAGGTACGCGTATTTGAGGTCCAGACGAGTGAACCAGTCGTTCGCGATGAGGAGGTCTTGCAGAAGATGTATCCCTTCCATCTTGAAATGTCTGTACACTATGTAATAGTTGAGGTGCCGTAAGTTGATCACTAGCCGGTAATCTGGGGTAGAGCTCGCAGCAGAACCTTCTCCACCGAGGTCGCCAGCGCAGCATTAATCATAGCTTGGAAGTCTTGGGTCGGTTGCGGTGTGTGTTCCATGATCTGGTTCTGTCCTGTGTGTGAGACATTGACAGCCAAAGGGGGCAATGGTGATAAGGCAATCACATAGTGGTGCCAATCTCCTGGTACAACTGGGGCTCACCCAGGGTACAGTGGCCCCAAAGCACCTGTGAGTGTATACATATTGTGTGCCAATGCAGGAGAGCTCTCTCTCCTGACATCCAGGGGGGAAACCCTTGAAAGGTAGTTAAGACGTGAATGTCTCGTAGTAGTAGGTGATCCAACAACTCCCTTTTACACGGGGTTCACACCAGTTCTACACGGAGCTGTACCTCGCTTAGTGATGATCAATGTGCAGTGCACGTAATAAGCAGAGGTATACCAGTACCATATGGGAACTTGGCCCAGTAAAGGCCAGTGCAGCAGGACCCGCATGTAATTAGCTGGGGGCTCACCCCAGGTGGTGTGCCGTGATAACCAGAGGACACCCACGTTAGTATATGGCGCAATATTGGAATGAGATGGATAGCTGGGGGGTCACCCCAGGTGGTGTGCCATGATAACCCAGAGGACATCCACATTAATATTTGTACGTTTGGTAAAGTGTATATATATATATATATATATATATATCCCTGTTAAGGGTGATAGTGAATAAACTCAGGCAGTAAAAAATATTCAGTTTCCAGAAGAAGCCACAGGCCACCCATTTCCTTAGTACTGTTAGGAATCCTGCATCAATTGTGAGCCTGCAAGTAAAGTAACAATCCAGCATTAATGAGGTACCTTTAGCAGATCTATAAGTTGAATGTGTATAAATCCAAGTCGAACAGGTCACCTAAAATCCAGGTTGTCTGATTCCCGCGGTCCGAGGTAGAAACACTTACACAAAAGGGACAGCCACATGACAGAGGGCTGAGGCCAGTCAAACAGATAGTCATATATATATAATAACAGTAGGGATAGGAATGGGGAAAAAAGGGAACATAAATAAGAATAGTATAAAACATAAAACAAGTAGAAAAACATCCATTAATAATAAATCATCAGGGAGAAACATAATACTCTGACCTGTGCCAGGCTGGAGCAGCAAAGAAAGAGGAGGAGGTGGGGCTATCAAGGTCTTTTGTGTATCAAGTAACTTTTTTCTGATTGGTTGTTTTTGTTTCTGTGCTGCTGGAGATTTTCAGTAAAGAGAGTTATGCAAATATGAAGCCTCCTCTCATGTGATAAAATGATATATGGGTGGGGAGAGAGAGATTGTTTTAAAATAAAAATAAAAAATTAACACCACTAGAATTTTTATCACATTTTGAGTGATACATTTCCTCAATTATTTGTGAAAGACATTTCCCAATTAAGGGGAATCTATAGTTTTAGGAATACAAAATTGTACTTGTACTATAGTGCCCTTTTGTCCCCCCTCATGCCACCCCTTCCCCCCTCCTTCAGCACCTAAAGGGTTAAAAAGCCTTTTAGTAACTCGCTCCTCCTCACTCAACGTCATCTGGGGTAGGCGGGACCTAATGTGCATGCGGAGCCAGCGCTTTAGGGACTCCCTTTCCTGTGGGGATTTTACTGACGCTGGATGTTCTCATGCAGAGTGTGAGCACATCCAGCATCATTTAGGCGACCCAGAGTCCGGTAAACTCCCGGAAGCGACTCTAGCTGTGTTTTAGTCTGCCACTAGAGGCTGTCATAGTACTGCAATGTTTAGTTTCTCAAAAACTGCAATGGTTTAACCCCTTAAGGACCAAACCTCTGGAATAAAAGGGAATCATGACATGTCACGTGTCCTTAAGTGGTTAAAGGGGGAATGGAGACACTTCAATGAGCCAAAATGGTGTGGGTGCCTATAGTGTCCCTTTAAGCTAAGCCAGATGGAGAAAAACATGTTAGGGGAGTAAAGGAGAGGGTCACAATTGGGAATAATATAGGGACACACAAGTAAGGGAAGGGAGGGTAATAATAATAATAATATATTGTGTATTAATATTGTTTTTGTATTTTATTGTACCCCCCCTTGCCACCATTGCTTTGCATGATATATTTGTCACACCCCGTTTTCTGGTCCCTGGTATCTGATTATAAAATGTGTCAGATAGTAATATTCTGTGTATTGTTGCACAGAGCAGATGTCATGGTATGAGAGGGCCAGCAGACTGTGGGAGAGGCAGCTCAGTGTTCAGTGGAGGTGTATTAGAGGTGCTGCACTGTTGCAGGTGTCCTGCAGGTGGCGCCCTGCGGTTGCTGATGAGCAGGCAGTAATGGGGGAGGCGCCTGCCCTGGATAAGGGATGGCTGCTCTCCTCCCAGACACACACTCACTCATATCCCAGGCTCGGGACACTCCACTACTCACTCTCATTCACACGGAGCACTCTCAGGGCTCAGGATGGTCAAGGTGTTCGCTGTGCTCTCCCTGCTGGCGCTGTGCAGCTCCCTGGCACTGGGGGTAAGTAACCCACCCTGTGTGATTATAGGTAATACCTGCCCTGGGGTCCTGAAACCTGCTTTCTGCCCCCCTTTAATTAACTGGGGGTAAGTAACCCACCATGTGTGATTATAGGTAATACCTGCCCTGGGGTCCTGAAACCTGCTTTCTGCCCCCCTTTAATTAACTGGGGTTAAGTAACCCACCCTGTGTGAGTACAGGTAATACCTGCCCTGGGGTCCTGGAACCTGCTTTTTGCCCCCCTTTAATTAACTGGGGGTAAGTAACCCACCCTGTGTGAGTATAGGTAATACCTACCCTGGGGTCCTGGAACCTGCTTTCTGCCCCATTTAATGAATCTACTGGGGGGTAGGTAACAAACCATGTGTATTTATACCTGCTTTCTGCCCCCCCCTTTAATTAACTGGGAGTAAGTAACCCACCCTGTGTGTTGGTAGATGTTGCCTGCCCTGTGCTCCTGGGGAATTGGGACTTGCTGTCTGACATAGTGGTGGTCCTACAGCCCCTTTAATTTGCCTGCTTGGGCTCTGCTGCTTCCTGGCACTGGGGGTAAGTAATCCTCTCCGGGCTCCTGGAGGGGTGACTGGGACCTGCTTTCTGACTAGCATCCCTGTAACCAGATGGGGGCCTCGACTATTGCACTTTATGGATTAACTTTGACCAACACCCTGGAATCTGTCTGTGGGGGACACATGTGCCCCTCTCCATGTATTAACCTCTTCAGATCTGTTTAACGCCTTGGGTGCCAGGTGGGACCCCTTGTCATTGGTGTGTTTAATGACAGTCCAAGTTAACCTTGGGATTCCAATCTGTGCCAACGTTCCATCCGCTCAGGTGGCCTTCATTCATTTCCCAAAGGAGAGGGGGGTATGTCAGTATGAGCTCCACGTGTATCGCTTCCTTAATCTTAATGTAGGAGTAGAATGTAACATGACCTTCTGGGATGTTAATATTTATAATTTTATGGGACCACCAGCAGTCCTTCCACTGTTCCTGTCCCCCAAATTCATAGTGGGGTGTGGTGGTTTTTTTATTTTTATTTTTTTATAAAGAACAATAGACATGGGGTTCTTACCCATTGCCTACTTATCAGGGGAGCTTGTAACTACTGTAGAGGTTTATATTACTCCTGCCCTATCTTAGCCATAACCTTGGTCTAATAGTCTTTCTGCACTCCAGGTATTGCTAGAATTGTTTTCCAAATCATTTACTTTGCGATTAATGTTTTTTTTTTCCCCATGTGGGTGATGCAAGACACTCTTTGTATTCCATGTATATATTCTCAGTATGCAATGACTATTTCACAAAAGCTGATGAATATAGTAACTGTGTATTTTATATAATTTCCAGAGGTGACTTAACTGCATATCATGTGTGTTGTTTGTATTTAGTTTTATATGGTTTGATATTTCCAAAGCTAAGTTTATGAAATCTGTGAGGTTTTTATTTTCCATGGAGTGGCACACCATATCCTAAGTTGTACTTTAGTTTGTTTTGTAGTTTAAAGTCTGCGTGTATATACTCTGTTCAGTGAGTGTTATATGGTATATGTATACAGTGCGTGTAACCCTAATTCATGTACGCTGCACTTTTAAGTGACACTCTTTCTACATCTGCTCTCTTTACTGTGATTTTTGTTTAATTTAAGATACGAAGTGTGTAATGCTGCATTATGTTTGTACTTTTACCTTCCCTGTGTATTCCAATAGTGCAACACTTACTGCCAGTCATTCCTATCCCAATAGTAAAATGTGTGCTGCCTATTATACCATCACATTATTTTGATATCACTAAGCATCTAATATAGTGCTAGAGCCTCCCCCCCCAAGGGTGTCTGCGATATTTTTTTATTTTATTTTTCCAAACCTGCTTGTATAACACAGAGGTAATTGGTAGTTTTAGATGAAAACACCTTGTCATGTAAATATGTAACTCCCTATGCTCAATATACCTTTATTGCTTATTGGCGTGAATATTAGACACTGTCAGTGAACGAATAGGTCCTGTTATCTTGGTTTGCTTAGTTTAACCCCTTAAGGACCAAACTTCTGGAATAAAAGGGAATCATGACGTCACACATGTCATGTGTCCTTAAGGGGTTAACATGCTAATATTTGCAGGTTGTCTTTGTAAAGGGATGATCTAGACCCATAAAGCATTTCAGCTTGCTTATTTTTGTGTGAAGTGTCTCTCTTTAATTTTATTTACTTATTATACCCAGATTTTTACAAAGCGCAGATTTCAACAGAAACTGGCATCTTTATAAATTTAACCTTTAGCACTCCCAAAGCTTTCAATTAGACAACTGGTCCTGTTAACTTCCTGGTTTGGTTAGTTTAATGGAACTAATCTCAAGAGGCAGCAATTGTCCAGAGCGCCTGCATTGGGAAGTCTGTGATTGGACAGCCACAGAATGTCTAGGTGCGGTTAGAAAAGGAGGGCTTGCAAAGGCTACAGGAAAAAACAAAACACTGCAGCCTATGCAAGGGGTGTGTTTTTTTTTTTTTTTGTTTGTTTTTTTTTGTTTTTTTTTGTTACCCCAATGCAAAAATTAAATGCATGCGTATTTTCATTGGGGTGATATTTATTTGATAGTGTAGTTTTCTTTTAACTTGATAACGCCTCTGACGTTTTTATTACAATGGCGATCAGACTATCTCATCAATGAGAAGTGGGTTATCTTGCTTACAAAGTGTCTTTGATTGGGTGGAGTGTTTTCTGGGGAAGATTACAAGACATTTATTGTACAAGTAGAAAAGTTTTCTTACTGTCTTGTTCGTTTCATTTGCCAGAGTCTGTACAGAATGTTTGTTTGTTTCTTTCTGGCAATGAATGCAATTCCCATGTATCCCATGTGAAATGAATTAATAACGAACTGGAATCCTAAAGGAATAACTGATTAATGTCATGTGCTGATTACTAGTCGTTCCCCTTTCATACATTTTTTAAAAAAAACCCTGTGATCACTTAGAAATGTTGGGAGTTCTTAAAGGGAAACTCCATTGCCAGCAAAACAATCAGTTTTCCTGGCACTGCAGGTCCCCTCTCCCTCCCACCACCCGATCCCCGGTTGCTGAAGGGGTGAAAACCCCATTCAGTAACTTACCAAAGGCAGCGACTATGTCCCACGTCGCTGCTTCCGCCGCCGCTCCTCTTCTGCATTGCGTGGGCTGGTGGGCAAGACTGATCACGGCCGGGGAGACCTAATGCGCATGCGCGGCAATGCCATGCATGCCCATTAGTGCTCCCATAGGAAAGCATTGAGAATGCTTTCCTATGGGGAAATGAGCGACGCTGGAGGTCCTCACACAGCGTGACGACATCCAGCGACGCTCTAGCACAGGTTTCCAGTGCTAGAAAACAGGAAGTGCCTTCTAGTGGCTGTGTAGTAGACAGCCACTAAGAGGTGGAGTTAACCCTGCAAGGTAATTATTGTTTATATAAAAAAAAAAAAAAACTGCAATAATTACACTTGCAGGGTTAAGAGTAGTGGGAGTTGGCACCCAGACCACTCCAATGGGCAGAAGTGGTCTGGGTGCCTGGAGTTTCTCTTTAACATTGAACATATCACAATTAATTAAATACTACTGGGTATTATGGTGTTCCCACAATAATGTGTCTTCTTGGAACCCAGTGACTTCTTATCTTTATTTGTCTTTAAATGTGAATTTTTTTTTATTTTTTTTCTGTGCTCATTTTCATTGATTAGTTTACCAAAGAATCACCAAGTAGTGCATTTCCTGGCACAGGCTAGATCTACCATCTTTACCACAGGGGCAATGCTGAAATACTATGCAGATGGAGAGGAACGCGGGTTGAAGCTCCGGCTTAAAGGAACACTATAGTCTTCAAAACAACAACAGCTTAATGTAATTATGTTGTCTAAAACCTGTCCCTGCAGGCTTGTTTGCTGTAAACACTGCTGTTTCAGAGAAAATGCAGTGTTTAAATTTCTCTCTAGGGGTAGTTCAGTGTATCCATGCAGAGCATGGTGACGCTGAATATCAATCACATTGTGCAGCACTGTCCCAGGAAGCACCTGTGGCCATCTGAGGAGTGGCCAGTGTAGGTGTCCCTAGGGGGCAATGTAAACACTGCCTTTTCTCTGAAAACATTGTTTACTGCAAAAAAACCTGCAGGGAATAATTATACTCACCAGAACAAATACAATAAGATGTAGTTGTCCTGGTGACTATAGTGTCCCTTAAAAGAGGCTGATTGAAGTAAAGTAGTAGTGGATCTTGAGACATATGGACATAAAAAGAAAACCATGATTTTAAACCATAACTGCCTGCCTCCATTTGTTGGTCCCTGTACAACTATTTGTCTTGTTCCTGACCCTAGCAGCAAGAACCCTTCATTATTTCAGCATTACAGGCCTTTCTTCCAGGCACATGACTGTGACACATTACCTTGTCCTCTGACAGTCTGCTGTGTTCAGTTAGCTGTGACATGTCTGAAGGCCAGCCTGGGATTCTGTGTTTTTGTTTAGGTTTTTATTGCCTCTTGGAGTCATTTTGTAGGATCACAGCTTTGCTAAGGGGTTTAGCATTTGCATGAGCTTCTGAGTCTTAATAACAGAGAGGAGGTAACCCAGCGGACACTTCTGGCACCATAACCACCATGGTGCGCTGTAGTGGTTATAGTGCTATTGGTGTTCCTTTAAATCAGGGGTGGGGAACCTTTGGCTCTCCAGATTATTTGGACTACAACTCACATAATGCTGGCAAAGCTACAAGGGAGATGTTGTCCAAAACATCTGGAGGGCCGAATGTCCCCCACCCCTGATTTAAATGAACCACACTGTCCTTTTTCTGTCTTAATGATTTATTTAAATTATGACCATGTTTCCTTGAACAATATCTTTTAAAGATTTTCGTCCTCTTTATCGTTCAGAGTGTATTAGTGAACCAGGTTTGAGGGATTTTGGTTAACAAAGGTGGTCTTATTTAATATTTTTATAGCCTGTTTTATTGGCTGGAATTCTGGTCTGTGTTCAACTCAATGATTTTAACTTCTGATCCATCACCTACTGTTACTGTATGGCTTGGATTTTGATACACTTTTTTATTTTTTATTTTTTTATTTATAAAAGCAATTTTATTTTTGTAAATCTGGTTTTAGCTGAACTACTGCAACAAAACACTGGCTGTAGTGTGTTGTGTGGGTTTTTTTTTTTGGGGGCGGGAGGGGCTGTTAGTAGTTACAACTGCTTTTGTAAGATTCCACAATGGGACGGGAAAAAAAAAAAAGCAACCAACATTGGCCTAGTGATATGTACTAGCAGGCTAGTAAAAAAGTTGCCAACTACTGTATATAAAGGGATAATATAGGCAATAAAACTACTGTTTGTTGAAGCTGTTTTGGTGTATAGATTATGCCCTGCAAACTCTGCTCAGTTCTGTTATTTAGGAACGAGATCCTTTTTTGTCTATGTAGCCATTGTCACACCTCCTCTGGCAGTAGTCCTTGTGCTTGGAATAACCCTTTAACAGCATTGCCACAGCTAGGAAGATATTTGGGAGTTCTCCACTAGACCCACGTGACTTTTATAACGACCTTCTCCAATCCAATGTTATGGTTTGTTTAATATTACAGTAATCAGTGTCGTGTAAATAAACTTTTAATTATTATTACTGTGGCTTTGTCATGTACATGTCTGGCAACACCTATATATTAATTACGTGAGCAGAGTATCACCCAGAAATTCTCTAAAACTCAAACCGACAGCATTGATACTAGTGCAGTCCTCTAGCGTATTGGTGTCTTTTTATATACATGTATCACAATTATTAACCCCTTAAGGACACATGACGGAAATATTCCATCATGATTCCCTTTTATTCCAGAAGTTGTGTCCTTAAGGGGTTAATCTTCTAATTTTAAGAGCAATGACGTTTCTGCTTAGTTTGCAAGACAGACGTTCCACACCGTCGGGGTTTATATTTCCAACTTGTTAGTGGTTGCAATAATGGGTAGTAGTCCAGTGCAATGGTATATGTTGGCGCTCTATAAATAACAGATGTGAAGCCCTCCTGCAGGTCTCTTAGTCAGCACTTGCCTATCTCGCCCACTCACAGGCAGGATGTTTACTTTCTGATTACAAGCATGTCCTGCACAATCTGTTTGTTCTAGGTGTTGGGAGAAAGCCGCAAGTGTCCTGTGAGCCCAGAGGCAGGGGTGGGAAGAGGTGTGTACAGTAGGTAGGATCCCGGCAAGTGTTAGTGCTTGTCACTGGGCTTTTCTCTCAAACATTCAGTAATACTAACATTTTTGCAATATGTTGGTTACAGAAAAAACAAACTTATTGCATAAAGCAGTGCAAATATTTGCTCGGCCACTGACCTCTGGATTTTCGTAAAATTGACCTGAACTGCAAAAATCTGGCTGAAATGTCAAACCTCCTAATATAGCTTAGTTTGAGGTGTGTGTGTGTGTGTGTGTGTGTGTGTGTGTGTTTTGTTTTTTTTTAAATTTTTTTTTTAATTTTATTTTTTTCACATTTTGCTGCCTAAATTTAGCAATTTTTCAAAATGAAAAAATAATGATCTATGCTTAAAGGCCTTTCTTTGTAAAGTACGATTGCCATGCTCTAGTAATTCCATTATTTGTTATAACCCTCTCCTAATTGGTCTTATCAAAAACCATATTGCCCCGCTACAGTCTATAATGAATGCTGCCGTCAGACTGATTTTCCTCTCACCCCTCTCAGTCCTTACGTTGGCTTCCTGTATCCTATAGGAGTCAATTCAAGGTACTAACCCAGACCTATAAAGTACTGAACAATTCTAGGCCCTCCTATATTTCTTCACAGATCCAAAGGTATGCCCCTTCTCGGTCTCTCCGCTCTGCCTGTGACCTTCTCCTATCAGCTGCTCACACCCGTACGGCCAACTCACGGTTGCAAGACTTCTCGCTGGTGGCTCCCTTCCTACGGAATAGCCTGCCTACCGCCATCAGACTCTCCCCTAGTCTTCAATCGTTTAAGAAGTGCCTTTAAAACCCATCTCTTTAGGAAAGCTTATGGCCTCCCAGAGTAACCTCTATCTCACATACCTGTCTCTTGCTCTCTCCTAAAGGGCAGCACTCTACTCTCTCCTCCAGCTTTGCTTCACTCCCACCATTTTTGATTGCCATCTCCTGTACTATTGTTTATAGCTAAATCTCCTCTTTCTCTCCCCCCCTCCCCCCCTCCTTTACAATATTGTAAAGCGCTACAGAATCTGTTAGAGCTATATAAATGGTGATAATACTGTGGTGCTACAGTTGTCAAAGAACACTTCTTTAGAAGAGTATATGACAGGCATTATTTGTTTTATTGAACGTTTGACATCCTGTGCGCATGCTCACTGTGAATGTATCCACAAATATCGGTGTATAATAGTAGTAAGAGACACACTGGAATTAGAATCCTAAACTAGTCCCATAGCTCTAATTTCTGTCCAAAGTTTGATGGCTGATGTGCAAGTTCATTTTGGCAGTAGACCAGCTGCAGCAGAGAGAATGGGCTTTATGTGCCTCCAAGTTTCTGTTAAATTTCCATTTAAAGTGTGCTGGAGTGCGGGGTGCCCTATGCCTGCTAGAATGAGCTGTGATGGTTATCGTGCTTGGTGTGTCCCTTTAATTTCTTTTTGGAGCTTGCTTAATCCGTGTCATAAATCTGCAATATAGAACATGTCTGGGTTAAAGGTTGCTGGAACATTGTAGGAAAACCCATTCCTTTAATACTAATTCACTGCCAGACTTGTAAATGCGAGGCTGAGAAATGTGTGTGTTCGTTCCCCTCTTGGGTTCTCAGCAATGGTTTATTTTAAGTCAAAGTGCGGACTCTGTGAGGGACTCCTCCTGAATAGTAAGCAGCCAGGCTGGTGGCCAGGGGCTTGTGTTTTGTATGAAAGACTCAGTGCCAGCTCTTTGTAAGCTCAGAAAATCTATTTTCCATTCTCGGGCTCTTACTGCATTAGTTCTGTGTGTGGATTTTTTTTATTTGGTGATCGGGGGGAATATTCCATAAATATGGTGGTAGCAAATGAGCAATAAGCCAGGAGGGCCAAAATATAGATTCCCCCACCTGTAACAGAACTGCCACTCACATTATGCTTACCAGCCTTTTAGGTTTCTCTTGCAAGGAAGAGATTACTGCGGGAAAGTCTACACGTCCTTCCTTTACCTCACATTTGAAAAATCACTCTAGATTGTGTGATTTAAAAAAAAAAACCTGACATTGATTTTAGGTGGTGTAATGTTGGAATGACCAGGGGTGAAGGCCTGACCTACAAATATTGTAGTAGAAAGGGCCTCCTAATCTAATGGTGAGACGCAAGGGGTGTGGACAGCATCCACAGATTCCAACTACAATGATATAGTGGGTCAGGTCCCTACAGACTTTTGTGTAGCCTTATATTGGCATTTAAACTGTGCATAAACCAGGGTTCCTGACTTGTGGAGGTCATCCAGTCCATGCGATGGGGCAGGGTGGGTAGAACCAATTCTGGTTAAGTTTTGGCTTCTAATGGCTTCCAGCACGGGAAACGGATCTATTCATAAAACACAGGTGAAGCTTGTAAGCAAATGCACAATTTTTGTTTTATAAAGCTTTGGGAAATGGTGAATTCACGTCATAGTTTACACATACACATTGTGTTTCAGCATTGACCTTACTCTATAGCAGGCTCACATTTCTTTTAAAGGAAAAGTCAACCATAAATGTTGCTGGTGAAAGCGTGCTTTTTTTTCTTTTTTTAAATATATATATATTTTTTTTTTGTGTGTGTGTGTGTGTGTTCTTGAAAGGGAAATCCTTTATTTCAAGATTTCATAAGAAGTACATGAAGCGTTAGCCTTTTATAAAAAAAATTTTTTTTCTCATCACACTGGGTCATATTTTCGAACTTGGTTTAGACCAGAAATTCATTTGTGGGTTTTTTTTTTTGTTCTTTGCCAAGCTAGTTTTAAAATGTTTAAAGGACCACTATAGTGCCCTGAGGGTGCTCCCACCCTCAGGGTCCCACTCCCATGGCGCTGAAGGGAGAGGAAGGGGTTATTTTTTTTTCAGCGCTGGGCTCCCTCGGCACTGGGGACTCTCCTCCCTCTTCTGACGTCCCTGGCTGCATGTGCGGCAAGAGATGCGCGCACATTCAGCCAGTCCATAGGAAAGCATTCTCAATGCTTTCCTATGGACGCTGGCGTCTTCTCACTGTGAAAATCACAGTGGGAAGCGCCTCTAGCGGCTGTCAATGAGACAGCCACTAGAGGCTGGATTAACAATAAAGTAAACATAGCAGTTTCTCAGCAGAAAGGGTTAATCCTAGGTGGACCTGGCACCCAGACACCTTCATTAAGCTGAAGTGGTCTGGGTGCTTATAGTGGTCCTTTAAAAAGAACACTCTATCGCCTTAGTCACTGTTTAGGTGACCGGGCGAAGCTCCATCTCTTTGCTTGAGGTCATTAAACAATTCCCATAGAAAAGCACTGGGGGACTGTTGCACATGAGCGGAAAAACTCTGTGATAGCCAGATGGTCTCTGAGCCCATTTAATTGACAGTGGCGTTTTTACGCTTTCACAGAACAATTTCTAGTGGTTGTAGGTATGACCGAGGCAGGTTAACCTTGCGGTTCCCTTAAAATGTCATGGTTTTTGGCTTCAGGATTAAAACATGGCAACTAGACCAATTCAGTGATATTAAAGGAACCCTATAGTCACCTAAACCACTTTAGCTTAATGAAGCAGTTTTAGTGTATAGATCATGCATCTCATGTTTCACTGCCCTTTGGGAGTTAAATCACTTTTGTTTCTGTTTATGCAGCCCTGATCACACCTCCCCTGGATCTGATTGACAGAGCCTCCACAAAACAAAAAATGGTTTCACTTTCAATCAGATGTAAATTACCTTAAATGATTTTATCTTCTGCTCTGTAAATTGAACTTCTATCACATACAGGAGGCTCTTGCAGGGTCTAGCAAGCTATTAACATAGCAGCGGATAAGAAAATCTAAATTTATACAGAACTTGCAACAAAGGAAGGATAAACATTAGATCTCACTATACAGGATATATATATTTTTTATTATTTTCTTTTTATTATTTATTTTTTTTTTTTTTTGGAAGGCATGCATTGAGGTGTGACTAGGGTGCATAAACAAAGTTATTCAACTCCTAAATGGCAGGTAACTGAGCAGTGAGGCTGCAGGGGCATGATCTATACACTAAAACGGTTTCATAAAGCTAAAGTTGTTTTAGTCACTATAGTGTCCCTTCAAGTGATCTGGGTGCCTATAGTGTCCCTTTAAATGTGACCATTTTGAGTCTGTCCGTTATTTGCTGTACTTTTTTGGTATGTATGTATGTCTCTGTAAATTTGATCTCTCCCTCACACTGTCGTCCTTGGTGTGTTACTACTGTATCTATGCCAGCTTCTCAAAACAAAATATAAAAAATAATTATGTGCAGTTCTGCACATTAAGCATAGTCTCTTCTAATTCCAGTAATGTTGAATTCCTAAATGGGCATGTTGCACTGCTAACGTCTAGAAGACTTTCCCTGTTTTTAAATCTCCATATTGGGAAGATTGACTAAGCCTTATCCATAATATTCAAGTTAATAAGAAGCAAAATTTTTGACCGCTTCATTTCATGTGAGCAGTGTCTCTCCTCAATTTGTATTTAAGGTAATAATAATAATAATAATAATAATAATAATAATAATAATAATAATAATAATAATAAACTGTTGGAAATAAAACTGCGCAAGCTTCCTGAGTTACTTGCATGACAAACATCGCACAAAGACTTTTGTATCAAAAAAAAAAACTGCCAAAAAAAGTCTCTCTTCTGTTGTATATTATACATGGTGGGTGCATTCTTGTCCCTCCTGCTGTGGCAAACGACATGTTTTAAAACTGATTCAGGATAGGTTAAAAGACTTGTGTCAATTTGTGGTTAATGGAGAAGGGGGGGGAAATCCTCTTTGGTAAAATGGAAAAAAAAATTGTTCAAAATAAATGAGTTGGGGCTGAAGAAAACTTTGCTGTTTAGTGAAAGTTCCTGAGTAATAAAGGCAGGGTTGGGCCTTCACGTGCAGTGTCCTAGTTGGTCTCATGCACAATAACACAGTTACAGTAAAGATGGGGGTGTGTTCTAATCAGAACTCTGTATGGGTTACATTTAATAATCCTTTGTCCATACCCAGGACTCTGCTAAGTGTTGGTGCAGGTTGAGACTGCATTCTGAGTTTTCAGGTGTTCTGTCCTGCCCCAGTTTGCTGTGTAAACACATCTCCTGCAAGGATCGATTTCAGCATTGTGTGCAAAGAGGATAGAGTTTCTTTGTTCGTTTTTTTTTTTTGTGGCAACTAAATGCAATTGTCCCCCTGCTCAGAAAACGAAACACCTGCCCAGCTTAGAAAGGTTCATTATTGCAGAAATACAGGCTGGGTTCTATTTATGGTCCTCCAAAGTTTGCTGTCTGTGCATGTGAACACTGCCCTGAGACATTGCATGATGTTCATTACTCTTCTGGCAGTAAAGTGCATCCATTTTGGGGCCTTATTCACTAAATTGTTAACGGTCACTTGACATATGATTGCTGCTTAAACGGATAATCTGTGCACTTCTACCCCTGCAGCGCATGAATCTCCTGGTCCAAATTGGACAGTAGTTTGTGCCTGGAGTAATAGTCCTTTAAATCTATTTTGTATGAAGCCACTATTGGGCATTGGCATTTTGAAAACCTAAACCATGACGTTTCTTAGAAAAGGCGCTGTGGTCATCTTGGACAGCCCAGAACATGTGTGAATATACATACATGGAGAGTGGTGATCCATGTAATATTCCTTGTTCATTATGGGGCATAATTGCACAATCTGTGTAGTGCCATAATAGTGTGCATAACTTAATTATATTTTGTCTGTATATTTATCTTGGACAGACTTTCCTAGCGATTTAGTACATGCTAAACAATTACTAATGCCTGTGATTGCTGACTTGTGGGCCTTCTTAGCACTGTATACTTGCTGTTCTGTGTAAATTACAGAGCGGTAATAAAGTATAATCCCCCTACCCTGGCCACTCCTACATTAATCCTGTGCCTCAATTGCTTTTCTTCGAATACATCTTTTAGCTTGCTGCAGGTGTGGAATGACTGGAGTCCTGTTACATTTACAAGGCTGTGAGACCATTAATCCGCCTGGCTGGGCCTTGGATTTATGTGCTTGGAGTTCTACTTTATGTAGTTTATTTTATTTTTTTTAAAGGTTTTCTTGTAATATCAGAAGTGAATTTAAGGCCTGCTGCCAAAAAATTCCAATGCAAATATTTTAATGCGAATGGAGAGGAATGTTTAAAAAAAAAAAAAAGTGTGTGTATTTATCGACTATTGTGCATCACTTGAATATCTCAAGGTGAACTTTGAGAAGTTCTCTTTCAGCACAGAAACTCGGGAAAACTTTCATAAGTACCCTTACTATTGTGTTTTTATACCCCACCTCCTCTAGACTGTAAGCTTGTTTGAGCATAGTCCTAAACTACCTATTGTTCCTGTTACATTTTGTTATTGTCTCATTTGGTAAATCCCCCTCTTATTGTAAATAAAGCTCTGCGGAATAAACTGGCGCTATATACATACCAATAAGTATCCCAGAGTTCCCAGCTTGATATGCAAATGAGCACTTTTTTCTTTAAAAAAATTTCGTGTACATAATTTATCTTCCATAAATGTTTTTTTTTTTTTGTTTTTTTTTTTTTTTAGAAAATGGAAATCCAAATGGCAAAACTCAGAGTAAAATTGCTAAGTTGCAACTACTGCAGAGTGGGAGAAATTATACTGGTTATTTAAATTGTTTAGAAAAAGAGGAATAGGTGCTCGCTATAGTAGTGGGCAGCAGTAATCAATACAAGGATTCCCAACCTTGTGAGTGTTAGAATGTAGAAAGAAAGGAGACCGCGCCTCAGAGAGTATGAGTAAAAATCGTGTGTGTGTGTGTGTGTGTGTGTGTGTATATATATGTATGTGTGTATATGTATATATATGTGTATATATATATGTATATGTATATGTGTATGTATATGTGTATATATGTGTGTGTGTGTGTGTGTGTGTGTGTGTATATATATATATATATATATATATATATATATATATATATATATATATATATATATATATATAATCTGACCTCAAAGACATAAGAATAGTGCAATATGCTATATTCAGTGAGTGTTCAAATACTCTTATATGGTATCACTCAGAGCTCAGCTGTTAATAAGCGCGCACGGAACAGTCCCCGTCTAAGGATATGTGTAGAAGTTGTCGTCTTTGGTAGTCTCAGGTAAAGTGCCGTATGCAGGTCATATATAAAAAGACATGGAGAGATAATCCAAATAGTGAAGTAAGTCCTAATAGATGTTTAAAATTATTTAAATTGTTGCATGCATATCTGTTATTCCCTAACTAAACTTTAAATTTTGAGACTCTTTTTAAACCTGTATTTGGTGCATGCAGTGTGCCTCTTGCATTTTTGTTTTTAGAATTCAGCTCAGAACTCACCTTTTTAGTAATCTATTGGAGTGAACGCGAGTCCTGTCACTGTTTAATCAACTGGGAGGTGTGTGTGTGGTGTGGTGGTTTTTTATTTTTTTTAATATGAATGCACATCATACTGTAAAAGAGATCCATGTAGTTAATGATTAAATAGTTTCACTAGCACAAAAGGGAAGTTATTTATTTTTCTCGGTTGGCAAAACATGGTGTCTGACAGAGAAGGTTTTATAGATACAATTTACTGATCTTTTATGGCAAATGTAGCATTTGAATGTTCTAGTTGTCCAGCTCTATGCTGCATTTAGATAAATTATCGATCTAGAATGTAAGCTCATGGAGCAGGGCCCTCCACCCCTCTGTTCCCGTACGTCCAGTTGTCTGGTTACAATTACGTGTCTGTTAGTCCACCCATTGTACAGCGCTACGGAGTCTGATGGCGCTATATAAATAATAATTACTTGGTGGTGTCGTCTTCTGCTTCCCAATGGCAGGACTTCCTTGGTGTGGATTTAATAAAAGGGCGTAATGTGTACCCAAACATTATACTTGCATCTTCCTCATTTTAGCCAACTGTGTATCTAAAATCTCTTTGAGACCATTTCTCACGTCTCTAAAATGTTTGCATATTAGCTCTACAGCAGGGGTGGCAAATGGTCTTTGCCACTTTAAACAGCGTCTTTTATGATCTTTAATATATTGGGCTAATGTCTGCTTTATGTTGCTTTAATCTTAACCCTGTCTGCCAGATAGCGATGGGCTTTTTATTGTACTTCATTGAGCTAAGAACAATAGATTGCGATTCTATATCATTCCATAGAAGTAAATAAATGCAAAGTGTTGCTAACCCCCAAAGTAGATGTAGATTGGGAAAGGAGTGGGTGGGGGGGGGAGGAGGAGTTAAATGCAAAGGTACTTTTTATAACAAAATCCAAAACTATGTGCTGGTGAATTGGAAGCAATACAATTACTATTTTATATAGCGCCAGCAAATGCCGTAGCGCTGTACAATGAATCAAAAAATTTGAAATTCACTTGTGCAAGCCTTCCAAAAAAAATGATTACATGGAACATAGTCTTTTAGTTTCTTATTTATTATCTGGAATTAATAAAAAAAAAATAAAAAATTTGTTTTTTGTATTTAAAGGCTTGCTAGAGTGTGGTGAATGTCCCCCTTTTTATTTTTTATTTTTTTTTCTCTCTATTCAAAGATCATGGAAACACTTTGTATTTATGTATGAATGACTTTCAGGAGATCCATATTGGATTGGTAACATGCTATGTATATGTAAATTAATGATTACTTTGTTATAACGCAATACTATGTCTCTGTGCTTATTTCCCACGTGGATGATGGGTTTTGTTACTGATCAGGTATAGATAGGTGGGTGGCAATATCACCAGTGAGTTCCATCTTCTTGTCAGTCTCCTATCGATCTCTATGGAAAAGTCCTGACTACTTAGGCTGACCACAAACAATTTTTTTTGTTTTTTTTGTTTTTATATTCCAACACTGGCTGGTAAATCTGTCAGTAGCTCTTTTACGGATTGGAATACGGTTTCCATCTTTTGGGCCCGAGAGAGGGGCATCATTGAACACGTTGTTTTTTTGTTTTTTTTCTAGTGTTAACTATACAATTTTCTCTCTGTCCAAAAGCAGACAACCAGCAGGCTTAAAACTAGGTCTCCCCTGCATTCTCATGAGAACTGCATCTCTGCAATAGCTGGGTTTCTCTCTTTTTAGCCATTGATTGCATTAGTTCAATCCCCCTTGTATTTTAGTTTTTTTTTTTGTTTGTTTTTTTTCGTGTTCTAGCGTGACATTGGCAGTGAAACTCTGCATGTATCCTGTTCATCATGCGTGTTCTGCTGCCTGGCACAGAATGACTTCATGCATTGAGCGAAGTCAAACAGTGAAGGAACACGAACTCCCTGAACGAGTGGAGGCACGTTGATTCTGCATCCTGCTGGGAAAAGGCAGTTGAGTTTGGCAAGGATAATTTGATGCTAGTTTAGATTTTGAAGTTTATTTTCCTTCCAAGGCTGATGTAACTTTTTGGTTTCTCTGGAAGTGTAAACTCGTGCTTTGTATACTTGGTAATATGCAGAGTTGCGTCTGGCATAAGATATTCACTGAAAAGTGAATTTCCCGTTTTAGGCCAGACTAGCAAAATCTAGAAAAATGGGCTGGATTTATGGTGCTTGGCGTATTCCTTTCATTTCTGGCTCCAGATTCCTCTTTGGCAAATCTTTTTTAATTTGTTAGAATATAGGTGTTTATGTCAGATGGACATTCCTGGAGACCAACATTGGCACCCTGTCTTGTCTGACTACTAAAGTGATGCTTCTACAATGTATGTAGCAAGGGAAACAAAAGGGAGTAATAATAAAAACGTACTCCAAATACAAATGGATGTCAATACATGGATGATCTGGTGCAAATAAACCATATTTAAATGAAAATCCAGATAAGTGACAACTAGACTGCATTCTTGAGAACCGCCAAAGTAATCCTTTTAGCTGCTTATTTATATTAGAAAAAGATAATGGAATTACACTGGGGAGTAAACGAAATAATGTGCAAGGAAAATGAAGTCCAAATACATGCAAAGCAAGTAGGGTGTCACTCCTGTTAGACGTGAAACACGTAACTCTCATCTTTTACCCCACCCTGTTTGTTTATCCTGTATTTGGATTTAATTTCCTTGTACTTTATTTTGTTTACTGCCTGTATTATCCCTGTTCATTACTTTGGAAACAATAGGAATGTATTGTACTCTTGAGAATCCCTTGTTATGTCCTTATGGCTCCTAAATCCTACAAACATTAGTTGACTTTAATGTCTTGGGTTGCAAAAAACACAAACCTTTTTATCTTATTTATTCTAGTCTTCATGTACTATCATTATCTATAAGGTAGTTCCCATCACTCTCTATCTATACCATGCAGGTATGAACTTTCTCTAGTAAATTTTCCTCCTCCAGGGCTTAAAGGAACACTACTGGCACTATAACTATTTCATAAAATAACTGAATCTTTTTTAAGAAAAGTGATGGACAGAGGCAGGGAAATTCAGAGCTGGAAAACACTTTGGGGTAAAACTGTTTAAGAACTTAATTTCAACTTCAGTTGTTATGGTGCCCACACTGAATAAATGTGAAAACCTGGATTAGGACATTAAAGGCCATTGACATTTAAACTTTATTCTTGAATGGCCTGGTACCTATACCTGTCTTCCATAGGTGAATAATTGACCTCTAATGTGAGGTCTAGACATTAAAATGACTTTTGTAAATAGTGTTTGTTTTAAAAAAAAAAAACATTGAATCAAATACTTTATTTCCTGCAGACCCCAATCATCCACTGGGTTCTAAACATAACTCATGGGAAAGCATGTCGCCAACCCTGGCGCACGCACACACGGAGTAATGTGACCCTTTTAGTGCCGCAATTGTCACAATCAAAACGACCATTGCCATAAAGAGGGGAAGGAGAGTTGGCATTTTAAAGAGCTTAAATGGAAACCCAACCAAATAACCTAGTATCTTGCTGTTCTAGATGGTCTTATTTAATTTATCACTCTGTGCCATTTTATTAAAATTGGCAATAATGTGCTCTGCGGATAGTGCAGTCACTGCTCTTGCTTACAAAAAGCATTGCAATTGCATCATACCTGCATTGGCTAAACAGGCAATATTTATACCTTTTGTGCAGGGATTTGGGGGTTATTTATTTTTATCGCCATTTATATAGCGTTAACAGATTCTGTAGCGCTTTACAATATTATGAGAGGGGGGATTTAACTATAAATAGGACAATTATAAGAGAACTTACAGGAACGATAGGTTGAAGAGGACCCTGCTCAAACGAGCTTACTATATGTGTGTTTGTTTTGTAGGGCTGTCCTTGCTGTGAAGCAAAGTAGTTGTAAAATCCATACCATATTAATGATTAACGCCTCCATATGCACTAGCTGATGCACTGCAGGTGTTGGTCCTATGAGGCTGTGTGCAATAGTTTCACTGTGCTTTGTCACATGTGACATGATTCTGCACCAAGTTACTTGGGCTAATAACGCGAGGATTATATACTTTGGTTGTAGTGGGCAGAAGTTCAATCAGTCGGGAACAAAAAATATGAATAGGGAAAACTGTGAGCTCTGTCTAGTGAAGCGATTTCTTACGGTGGAACTTCAGATAAGGGTCTGCACTTGATTGCTGTTGGTTTGTGTGGCGCTTTTTTCTTATTTTTTTTTTCTTTGTTTTGCTAGTTGGTAAAAACTGTTTCAAAACTAGCGTTACAGACCTAAAACACGCACTGTGGACTCTGCTAATTAAGTTACACACCATAACTACTGCAGCAAGTTCTAGTGGCTATGGTGCCGTTGCAAACTTTCTGTATTTGCTCATTATCCGTTCCGTCCGTATTTGAATTGGTTGACTTTCTTTAGCCAATGAATTGTCTGGAATTGAAATCCAAATTACAAAACGTTAATTTGAGTATTCAAGCGTCTATCATAGTGGAGTTGGACTCTTCCAATTATTGTTTCCCAAATCGTTCCATTCTGACTTCAGTTTGATTCAATGTTTTTGAAGTTTAGTGAATAAACATGGTCTATTCTACATTGCTGAGTATTTAGTGGTTTGACATCACTCCCTGTCCCGTCGTTAGAAGGCCTTTGGGTCTGATTCATTCATGAATTCTCTGGTTTGGATGGCTGCCTGGGCTCCATTGCAGTCCTGTATTGTACACTGTTGGTTTGTGTAGCTAAACTGTGTTCCTAACTTTCTATTCTTGGCCAGGTTCGGCAAGCTAAAGGCTTGTTTAGTGGGTGTGGTGTTTCTGATAAAAATTGCAATAATGGATATGGTGTCATTTTTAACCTGTCCTTACGAGATAGTCCATAGTTTTTGCAAGACTCCTAGTTCTTTTACTGGAATGATGTTCACATAATGTTTAGAAAATGTAGTAATCCATCCAGTGTTCATGTGTAAACATGAAATCTGACACTTGCTATAGAATCTGAGGGTAACATGTAACAACTGTACATTCATCTTTTCCTTATGTGTATGTAATTTCTACGTACACATTTGCATGATCAGTGCTCACTCCCACTCAATTTTATGTCCTCCCTTCATTTCTCTATAAAAGGTAGAGCGCCTACTCATCAGCTCACATCTAGCCATTGAAACTTTTATTTATACATTGGTAGCCAACCAGCTTGCAATCGAAGGATAAATATTGGGTATATATTTGCTAGACTAGGAGTAATAGTAATCCAGTGGTGTCTGTGAATTAATGTGACAAATGGGTTTTTGACCGAAGATGTGTATTCTTTGTATTAATGGATCACTATGCTGTGTAGACCTACATGCTGTGTAGACCTACACTCTCGAAGGGAGACGTTTTTGCCAAAGCTCGGGGTGACAATGAGTCTGTGTCACAAATAGCCTTGCATTCTAAAACTGCTTGACGAGAGAGTACATGCCCAAATTTTATAATAGGACTTTGTTACAAAGGAGAACAGGTACAGGTTTTAAGAGCATTCATACCTGGGATGACCCTTAAACAGGAATGTATTTAGCAGCTTCTGATGGGAAATGCCCTGAACGTACAGAGTTTAAATGCAGACTAAAGTAGGTGATGGAGGTTAAAATGTGTGTATTGTTCGGTTTCTTGTTCAGAATCTGTTTGGGTTCTTTCTGCGCTGCCCACTCTGTCTGTTTGAGCCAGATTATCTTTGCACCAAAGCTTATCGGTTTGTTCCAGTTGACCAGTGTGTGATGGCATTAATACTAATTTAATGAGATTCAATCATTACTTATGTAAATCTAGAAGTTGCAATATCATTAGTTCCAAGTTGATGGATAACGTCCAGTCTCTGGCGTGTGCTGTTATAATGGTATCGGTTTGTTAAATCGATCCATACAGTGTTTTCTCTCCTGCTGCTGCTCCTATTTTTCCTGCACATTGAAAATGAAGTACCAGTCTACGTATTATGTAATCCCTTTGGCAGAGTGCTTGCTGCTCCATTTTGCACACCTCTTCAATAAGTCCACGTAGTTTTCTAGATCTAAACCCTCAAAATGATCTCTTAACTTCTCAATCATACTTGATTTGTGTAACTTTCTTTTTTTTTCTTCTAAAAGTGGCACTCAGTATTGTTTTTGTCATTCTATTTTGATTCCTCCCTGTAAAGGTCACATACGATTTTTAACCTTGGGGATTATGCCTGGGAATAATCCTGCTCTATGTATTAGAGATACTGATATTGGTTCACGTTTAATTACTCTGACTATTGCTTAAAGGAACACTAGACACTATAGAGCTACAAACCTGTATTCCTAATGCAGTAGTAACCCTGTTCCTAGTTGTGGTGGGTCTCTTGCCCACCCACCACACCTCCATGTCATAAATAAAATACTTTATTTGCATAGCGAGTACTGCGCTTGTGTAAAAGACTAGTTATATGCAAGTATTGTATTCAATGCATTTATTTTTTATTTTATTTTTTTGGATCGGCTTCAGGTGACAGTTTTCAGCCATACGGACAGCCACTAGAGGTGGATTTAAGCCCTTTCTAAAAATAATTAAATTTTGTAGTGTTTCAAAGGAAAGGACCACAGCACCCAGCCGTCATGGTGACCATAGTGTCTTATTCTTACTAGTATTGGTCTTTGTAGAACCCATTAATACCTCAAATTGCTAGAGGTGGAGTTCTTTTATTTTACTTCTTCCTTTTAATTATTTTATTGAAACATGGGCAAAGTTCTATTTAAAAGAAAAAGGTGATTTAAGACATCACATACACAGGGTTTTGCTCCTTTTCATTGGGTAAGCCTAGACCTGCATATTGGTACTAAGACTGACCATTTTAATATAGTGCCAGTGCAGTACAAATGTTCAGATTATAGGTAGGGGCGATAGATTATACCCACCACCCCTATAATATTGTGTATATAGCATCTTGTGCTATATGATGGATTTAATTGACTGTCTTTGTGTTTTTGTTTTTGTTTTTTGTGGTGGGCCAGTGGCTAGCCCATGGTTGCATTACTATGCTTTTGGGGTAAGCTATTTGTTTTTAAAGTGGATGTAAATGACCAGGTCAGCCTTAGGTTATTTGGCTAAAGTAATCTCTAGAATGGGCAGGCAACATTTCCAGCCCATGTGTTGGTCAAGATACTGTGTTTGTAAACACCTCTGAGATAATCAGGGGGTTCCCTTTCATCTTTCCTACTAAATGTCTGTTTCTTATCAGCTCCGTGACCTTTGATTGAATTACTCACTGATCTGCTTGACTCTAATCTAGATGTGAGTCAGTTTGTTCTTTTTTTCTTAGTGTTGGAAGCCTTATGACCAGAGTGTCTAGCTGAGCAAAATGTACATTTCCTAATCTCTCATTCCAGTTTTACATTAACTACAATTCACTGTCTGGTAAATAAACCCTTAACATTGTGACCGTGACCCTGAGTGCATTTGTACCAGGGGATAAAGGGGCTTTGGGTAAATAATTTTTTAAAACTAATGTTTAATATCTCCTATAGATTCGGTTCTCTTGGATCCTGTGGATAGGCGTTAAGATTTGCTTCTAGTTTCTTGTTACCTGCAACACCTTTAAGAATAATCGGTGATTGCCTTAGCCCTGTTTTTGTGAATTTGCACATCAGCTTTTTGCTTTACAACTCAGAACTGAGGGGAGTTTAAAAAAAAAAAAAAAAAAAATTCTGAATGCATTTTCAAAGATGCCTAATTAATAATATATTCTAAAGTTGCAAAGCACAGTTTTCAGGAATCTGATTTTTATCAGTCTCCCACCCAGCTTACTTTCTTTTTTTCTGTAAGCAGTTTGAATAATGGCATGCGATGTGAGGTGGGGCATTATACATAGCCCCTGGATCTACCTTTCTTTTGCCTTTTTTTGTGTTTTATCTGCCATCATTTCATGGAGTGTTTAATACTGCCCTCGGGGCTAGGTCACCGCTATTTCATATTATCCTCCAGGCTTCTAGTCTGGGGCGACCCTTTATCCTTCAGATCTAGTATCTGATCCAAAGCAGACCTTATGCTAAATTGCAGTTAGCTGCTCACTTTGCAAGCCGGCTTTTCATCAGTTCAGAAGTTTAATAATGCTTTCCATCGGTGGCAGACTCTAATTGTTGTAATACTCTCAGAAGCTTGCACTCTGCTTTTTGTTTTGTGTGCGTATTACTTATTTCTCCCCAACACTTTTTCTGACCCTGCCCCCATAAATATCCTGTTGTGATGAGGTGCTACATATAAATTCCTGTTTGCAGTGTAAATGCTGTAACAATGTTAAAACTTTATTAATTCCACAAGTAAACCATAAGGGCAGGTCTCCCTGAAGGCATTTTAAAGATTCTGCTTGATAACAGAGCAAAACTGCAATGTATGTATAATAACTGCTGGAGAGTGTAAGCGTTCTCCTTGGGTTTTTTTAAGGGTTTATAGCATTTGTCACAGCTGTGGAGGCTGTAGCAGGATTAATGTCCGGCTCTGGCTGTTTCTTTTGCAGCAAGGTTTGAAGCCGTCCATGCAATTGCACACTCTGGAAAAGCTGTGCCTGTAAAAAAAAATGTTTTGTTCTTTTCTTTTTTTTTTTTTTTCTTTGCTTATTCAGCACAATGGTTACATGGGTTTGTCAAGGCCTACTGTAACAGATGCCATCCATTAAAGTTGCAAAATGGACAAATCTCCAAGCTGCGGTTTCATAATGCCTTTGGCACATCCAGATGTTGTGGACTACATGTCCTATAATGTAGTCCACAACATCTTTGCCAGAATACTGGCAAAGCACCAGTTGTGGTGTAGTCCACAACTTCTGGAGTGCCGAAGGTAGCCTATCGCTCCATTGATTGCTAACTTGGTATCTTGATATTGCTGAATTAAGGTTGGCTAAGCATTATGGTAAGGGTAGATCAGCTTTTTTTATAGTCTGATCCTTGTGCTTCCCTTTCGCACGGTCTTGCTGTGCGTTTATAATTGATCACTGCGCTCTCAAGGATTGCATGGCCAGTCACGTGTGCTTTGTTTGCAAACCCATTACCATGGCAGTATTGCTCAAACACAGACAAACAGTAACTGCATTTTATTTCCCACAGCAGTTATCTGAGATTAACTGCCAGGCTTGAAGGTTCAGGTGTTGTACGCATGTTTGTATGACAATGTTAATGAGGAGGGTTTGTGTTTCTCTTTATCTCTTGCAGTATATAAACACGCACACATGCATGCAGCGTGGTCTGTTTTCAACTGGTAGGGGGTGTGGTTGGATATAATGCTCCCAGACTTGCTGCACTAATACAATGCAGATTGTTATCAGATATGCAAATCTCATATAGCATAGAGCTCAGTGTTGTTAAATTAACTTGCATGCAAAGTGTTAATTTACTTACATGCTAACACAGGGAAAGTGTGTGTCATACAAACAAATTTAATTCAGAGTAGGATTTGACGGGTAAGTAACTTATTTGTTAGTAGTTGCAGGTACATATTATAACGGAGTCTTGGGAGATTCATCATGGGTAACTTCACAAAGGAACAATGAATTGGCCAGAGCAAACAATGAGTTTATTCATCAGCTCATCATGTCTGACATAGCTAATGTTTCATTTAAATGGCTTCGTCAGTAAGCAAAATTGTTGTTTCTGGGGTACAGATAATTGATCAGTGTGAATTGCACCCTACTACATGCAAAGTGCAGGAGTGAGGTCGCAGGAAGTTATTGGGCCGAAATTCAGGCATTAACTGTATTGAACAATGCAATCGAAAGAGCCCAAATGAAGCTCATTTAAAAGTTGTCATCTTGAGTATCCTGTCAAAGCTCCAGCCATTAACCAATTTCAATGATATTAAATACAATTGACTCCTCAAACCCTACTTGGAATGTTGGCCCAACCTGTGCGTCTCTCTTCCAATTATATCTAGCTATTCATATAGTGCTGCATGTGTACAGGGATTGTCTGGCAAATCTCAGCTATGGTCATGGCAGTCTGGATATACCTTGTTTGTAGTAATTCTCTTGGATGTTGTGCTGCTTTATGCATTAACCAAAGGGGGGGGGGGGGAAGGAGAGGGTGGGTCCTCCCGTCTGAAGTGACTCTTCAATAAAACACTTGTAAGTTATTCCCACTCTATTTGTTTTTACTTTTGAAGAGTGGAGTGTGTTTTGGGTGAACTGGAGCAGAATTTCTGTGTACACTCGCATTCTCCTTGTTTCCAAGAAAGTTGGTTTAAAGAGGAACATGTGATTCTGGTCACACAGTGATCTTGTGACTGGTGTGAAAAACTTGGCAATTTAGAGCCAATCAAATTAAGCTGACCTGGCTCTTCAGTGTCACATATACTGTGCCGTCCAACTTAGAATGTTTTGGGAAATACATGCTGATCAGGGCATAACGCACCACTATATTTTTCTGCATCACTTGATTAGACTAAATGGATCCCTTGGGGGAGTGAAAGGAGTCCTAAAATCTAGTGACATGGGAGAATTGTTCATCTCCAGAGAGTGTGCAATATGGCATGGAGAGGGGCAGGAGCTGGATTTGCATACGTGGTAATACTTCAGGAAAAACCACCCAGCATTCACACATACTCGCTGGCATTGCACAAATGCAATTGTTCTGCATTCACATGGGCGCTACGACTCAAAAACTAAGTTATGGTCGCAAGATTTTTTGTATGGGAATTCATGATCTGGCTACTACTTAGGACATCTAAACATTACTTAAATATTGTATAATTTGTTACTTGCATCTGTATTGTAGAATTATTTCTGTATAAATGTCTCTCTACAGTGCATCTTAATGGAATAAGTGTGTGTGTTTTGTTTTTGGGTGTGTTTATTTGTGTTTTGCACTTAAAGCTTACTTTCTGATTGTAGTAGCAGTTTAAAAACACAAAATCTGAGATTTTAATATCTTGATATGTACCAGCTGCCTGCATCGTCCCTTCTCTACACACACTGCTTCTCCTTACATTTAGCTTTTTATTAAAGGATTTTAATATGATGTAATGCTGCAACCAGTTGCTTGATACTTTAATAGAGCTCTCCAGATTTTAGGTTGTCATGCCCTGCAGTCAGTCTTAAGTACGCTAACCCTTACTAACCCTTTATAACAAGCTTGATGCATCCACATTTTCTTTGCAATTTAAAATTTTTTTTTTTTTTTTTTGCTTCTCCTCCTTACTTGTGGGAACAGTGAAGTGAAAATGGTTAAACATTTTATAACTGAATCCTCTTGTTTTGGAAAAAATTGTCAAAAATAACTTGTTTTCCCAAAAGAGACTCTGAAATGTGTATTTGTTGTGGGTGTTCTAGAATTATTAAAGAACTGGAATAAGTTATTTGAAAAGGGACACTCTGGTCCCCAGCAGTTTGAAGTGCTGTAGGAGTTAACTGTCCCTGCTGGCATATTTTAGAAAACTGTTTATTTCAAGAGAAATCTTCACTCTTTTATAAATCCCCTAAGTGGCATCTCTTGGCTGTCAAGCAAAAAGCTGTGAGGGTTTCAGTTTATTTCGGTCTTCTCTGTGAGGCATGGCTGGCGGCTTGTTGTGCTCAATGTTTTCCCAAATGCTTCTGGGAAGAATCTGGTTGGCCACTAGCAGTCAGTAATGATGACCTCACAAGTGGTGGATTGGCGCTGTAATGAAGATGGCGTCACCTCATCTTTAACCCTTTTAATGCTGAAATGAGAGGTGGAGGGTAAACTTGTTTCAACAATTTAAGTACCAAAAATACATTTGTTTGTGTAGTGGATATGCATGCATCACACAATTCTCTAAAAGTCCACAATTCTTTACATGAAAAAGAAATCATTTAGAGTTAAAAGGTTTAAAGAAAGCACTGATGTCTCTTTGTGCTGGCTCTACCTCCTCACAGTTGGCAAACTAAGGGAGCCTGCATGACCAGTGGCATTGGGTTCCCTTCAATTAACGTCGAAGGGAACGCATGCTCCAATATGAAAGCATTGATGTAAACGGATTTTGCTAGAGCTGGATGTCGTCATGCAGAAACCGAAACAAAAAAGATGAACTGAGCAGTGAGACTGCAGGTGCATGATCTATGCACCAAAACTCCTTCAATATACTAAAGTTGTTTTGGTGCTTATAGTGTCCCTTTAAATATCTTCTGCAGGATGACATTGTGTTAATTTTTCCAACAAATACCAGCAGCTTCCAGTATTTCTGCTATTTTAAACAGATTGTGCTCATTATGTGACGTGCACTTAATGCTGGATTTATCACATGTCAGACCTTCCTTTTGTGTTTGGGTACAAGGTCTCTCCTTCCATAGAGTTCACAGAGTATACTAATATATGAAAGAGGAAGTTTCATTTCTGAAAGAAAGCTGCTATTACAGCAGGTTGTTGCTGTGCTGGGTTTTTTTTTTTTCTCATCCCCAAATAGTGTTTTTTTTTTTTTATTAGCCGTCCTTGGTGGGGGAAGCCGAGCTTGTATCCTTAACTAAGGGTGCTTAGAGTGCCCTTTTCAGCTGATGTAGTTTCCATTTAAGATGGAAAGTTTTGGAGCCTATTTCGAAAGCCTTACCTACAGCCTCGTGTGTGTCAAGGACATGTCTTTTTAACCTTGACTTAACAGTGGCTTATTGTCATCAGTAGTATGATTAATGTGCTTATTAAATTACATTTATTTCTTCCTACATGTCCTTGCTGGCTTTCAATGGAATAATACAGGATGCTGTGCTTCCCCCCCCCCCCTTACCCCACCTCTGCACACATGCAGCAGTGAAGGACAATAATGCTAACTTTGGCGTGAATGGAAGATGTATTGCAGGAAAAGGCTTCGCATTTTTAATTAGTGTTTAATATACTTTTTGCGATTGCAACACATGTAATAAAGTTGATATGTTGGGAAGACCAGGGGGACATAAAGATGCCCTGCCAGGTCATCTGTCTGCCTTAAAGGAACACCCAAACACCATAACCACTACGTGCCCTGTGACACCTCTATTCCCTTTCCAATTTTGTAACTTAATTTTTTTTTTTTTTTTTTATGTATTTCCTTTTTTTTTGTCAGGTAAGAAGTGAAACCTCTTTGCAACAGTAGTGCCCTGGAACCCTGTATTAGTAGTTAAACAACTATAGTGAACTGTTATGGTGCTTGGAGACTGCAACCTCATATTTTGAGAACAGATTTCACTAGTTTTGCCAAAGTGTGTGGTTTTTTTATTTCTGTGAATGGTCAGCCATGGTGAAAGGTCAGCAAGCTGTCAATTCACACATACAGGGCATGTTGGACATTTACAGGGGGGTTTGATTTAAAAATAAAAAAAATAAAAATTCTGCTTTAAGAACTTTTTTCAAATTAACCAACAAGGTTTACATAGTGACAAAAGTCAGTGTAGTGAGGAATTGATATTTTAATGATACTTTTAGAATCATTGGAGAAATCATCTGACGCTTTGATTTTTGGTTTAAGAATGAAATGTTCATCTAACTATAAATACAAAAAATGTAACAATCGGCAAGAGATGGTGTTTATGTAGATCAGGGGTCCTTAAACTCTGGCCCCCCAGATGTTGCTGAACTACAACTCCCATGATTCTTTGACTTACATAGGTAGCCAGAGAATCATGGGAGTTGTAGTTCAGCAACATCTGGGGGGCTGGAGTTTGAGGACCCCTGATGTAGATTATAATAGTCTTGCTGACGAGTGAATTTAAATCAAATCATCCCTGCAGCCATAATGCTTGAGTTTAATTAATCGGGTGTTGTCCCCTCTATTTTGTAACATAGCATTACTTCAGTGTGTGGAGGGTGGGGGAGGTCATTATAAAACACTATCCTTTAATGTGATGTCAAGGTAATATGTTCGTTTGTGTTTATTTTTTGCTTAGTTTTTCCACTACCCATGCTCCTTAAAACTGATATTTGTCTGCAGTTGTAATCTTATGTGACAGCTGGCTATTCTAGTCTGTTTTTAAGCCAGTTAGTGGTGACGATCGTTGACTGTCAACTAGCAGACGCTTTGGTTTGTCATTGTTGCTGCACGACTTTCCTTTTCAAGTGTGCACAAACATAACCTTACAATCTAACATTTACATGTTACAAAAAGTTGTTTGTAGCCTTGTTTTTAATTAAATTTCACTTTATTTTTATTTTCCCTCCTGTAGGAAGACTTAAGGTTTCCAGTGGATGATGATGATGATGGATCTGCCGATGATGGATCTGCCGATGATGAAGACTACTCTGGCTCAGGATTTGAAGGTAATCGATATGGGAAATATGAATCATGAAACCTCACATCAAGAACTCGAGTAGCTCTGCGTGTACACTCTTGTGTATCGTACTACTGTCTGGTCTGCAGTGTTTCCCATGGTCCACATCTAAAATGGCTATGTGAAAAATGTGTAGAGCATGTTTTCGTATCATACAGGTTTATTTTTTCTTTAATCCGCATTATTGAAAGTGCAGCATAAGTGGGTTTTGGGGATTTTCTTTCATCTTCTCTATTTCAAGAACTCGGTCTTTGCGTTGGCTACTCTCGGTGTGCCTTTATCTTTTCTCAATATCCCGCTCTCCCAACCTGTGTATTCTTCTTCCTGATCTCTTCAGTTCCTTGCTGCAACTCCACTAGTTATGTTGAGGAGAAATAGATTTACCATAACTACTTGATAACCTGTAACATTCCTGGTTATTTAATTGATTCCTTCAAAGACTTGCACCTTATTTCATGCTCTGCATACCCTCCTAGTCTCACTGAGAACCTTTTGAGGGGAAATGTACCTGATTTACTACACTTTGTGTGGGATCTTGTGTGAAGAATGGATGTTATGTGGGATCTTCTATGTAGATTATGTGGTGTCTGTCATATGGGAAATAAATGTGTTATGAAAAGATGGCTTTTGCATGGTTGGGTACCCTATGGCGACCTATAATCACATCCTCTGATTTCATATATTTTTGTTTAAACACAATTTTTTTTTTTTTTTTTTTTATTTCTTTTTAAGATCCATTTATATTTCCATCAGAAGTGGAAAATGAACTTTCTGGGTCCATATCAACTGTAATTCCCATCAATGTGCAGGAACCTACAGAACCAGAGCTAAGAAATGCAACGGTAGCTGGTGTAGAAGCTACCACAAAATCCATGGACACAACCAAGCAGCAGGAAGATGTTATTGAAAAGATAAATCCACCTGATTTGTCTGTGATTCTGGCAGAAGAACCAACTTCTGAAGCAAAAACACACGTGACTACACCAGCGGTACATGTAACCACTAGCATAATGGAAGTTGTCTACCACCATAAAACCACATTAAATCCTACTGAAGAAGCTGTTTTACCTGATCAGATCCACCATAGACATCATGGTTCTCATGCCAAAGCACATACAAGCCCACCTAGTGATGGGGAGTTCATGGTGCATCATACATTCACAACTTCAAGCCCAGGCCAGGCAAAAGATTCCATTCATAATCACATTCACCATCAAGAAACTCCATCTAGCACTCCAAATGCAAATGAAGCAGAAACTGAGTTGACTTATGTTGAAGATCCTATTTTTGTTGATTTGGATAAAAAACAAACTACAAAGAGCCCTACAACTGATGATTCTCATGTGCATCAAGATGAGCAAACTACCAAGGCTTCACCATTTGTAGAAGACACTGAAGATCACCATGGTGAAGCAACGACAAGTCCTGCACATGATGTGGAAGTTAATAAGGATGATGATCACCATATAGCAGTAACTACAAGCTCTGCTCAAAATGTGGACGTCCAAACGGGTGTAGTTCAACATGATGTCTTGACTACAAGTCCAACACACTATGTGGAATCTAAAGAGGAGGCCTCAACACCTGCTGATGCTGACAAACACCACAAACACCATGGTGGTCATCACCATCATCATCATTCTACAACTACTACACACCAAACTACAACTTCTAATGTAACGGTTGGTGCTCCAGTTTCCAGTGGAGATCTTGACATCTCTGGTGATACACGTCACAAAGGCAGATTCTTTTATGCACCAAAGGATCACCCGGTAGAAACGTCAACCCACACACCTGATGATCAGCATCCTATAGTACCAGATGAAAATGATGATGTTTCTGATACGAAGGAGGACGGAGAATCTGGGGATGATAAAGAGGTAATGTGTGAAAAGAAATTCCCACCCCTCCCCTTAGTATGAAGTCTTGTCCAATCGAAGGTTTCTCATAGAGAACGAATCATGCATTCACTGCAATCTGTGTGATTAGCCAGTCCAATGCTTATCAGAGTGCTGACACAGCACAGTTAAATACTGCTCCTGACAATCCTGTGCTGTCACCTCTTCAGAGTAGGTCTTCCCTCCTCTGGTGGGCATGTTGGCTCTCCCCGCAGGACTCCTTTTGTGAGGATGAAGGTGTGTATATATTATTATATTTGATTATTCTATTTGAAGTGCATCGCTATGATATGCTGCACATGCAGAGTTTAAATTTGCTGCCCGAGGTGTAACTCCACCCTTCACTCCACGCCTCTGGCATCATTTGGCCAAAAAAGAAATGTGTATTTTTTTTTTTTTTTTCCATAACTGTTACTGTACTTTGTGGTTGGCTGCAATAAAGTATCTTCACTTTGAATTTGCTAATATCACAATATAATTCTTCTTCAAGGAAGAATGGACTAAAATGTGTCAATGTGCTAACCAGACCTGTCAGATACAATATATTGTGGTGTGAACTGTGCATCTATAGAAGAAAATAATTATGCAGAAAAAGCTGCTCTTAATGCAGTGGCTGGCTCTGTGAGCAGAGTATGTTCAAACCGTAAGGGAGAGAGTTCCAAGCAGGAATCCTCACATGTTAAAGCATAACTGTCACCGTATTGAGGTCTCTGCATAATTTGCAGTGACTTCTGGTAGTGACATTGCAGCTGGGGGTGGTGAGGGGGTGAGCAGGCAAAAGTGAGTTTAACTTGCCTGAATCTCTTCCTTGTGGACTCCACTATACTTTTCCAGAGTCCTTTTCTGCTCCACTGTGCGAGAGTACAGCATTGAGGTCTGTGGAGGAGATGGTGGGATCCTTCAATTGCATGCAGCAGTCACTGGGTGAGTGACACTTCTTGACGGCGGTAGCTCTGCCAAATGTCAAGTGACAGTGCCACTTTAATTTGAGAAAGCCATAGGCTAGGGCTTATGCTGTATAGTGCATGGGACAATCTAGCTTGTTGGCGGAAGATTGTTGTGTTTACGCACAGTAGCAAAGTACAACTCCAAATGAGAACCACTTTCTTTTTTTTTTTTTTTTTTTTAATACATATTGTAAATTTATACCATCACAAGTCTCGCCAAAGACATGAAAAATCACAAACATTTAAACCAACTCCCTATTTTGTGCATTAAGGTAAATAATAGCCTTCTTTTCTTCAGAATGTAGACCTGTATTTCGAGGCCTCTGCTCCAAACGTGCATGCTGTGGATCCAAAAGATAGAAGTGTCGACAGTGAAGGCAGTCCTGACGCATCTCATGGGATAATGGAGAGGAAAGAGCTTTTAGCAGGTAAGAAATTCCGTAATTGAATTTTAAAGCTCTCTGTATTTAACCCCTTAAGGACACATGACGGAAATATTCCGTCATGATTCCCTTTTATTCCAGAAGTTGTGTCCTTAAGGGGTTAAGAAAGCCCTTATTTTCAGATTAGAGATCTTAAATTGCCTTCCTGTTATGGGCAGAAGGAACACACTTGCACAGTGCCCCTTCTTTGTTTTTCTACATATCTAAGCCTTCAATGTTTCTTAATCTGCCTTCCCTATATAGTGATTTAAAATCTCATGCTGCCCCCTGAACTTATTGCATTTTGGAAACTCAAACTGATCATAAGTGCATGCTTCCTTAAATATATTTATTTTGAGCGATGTATCTACCAATTTACTTCCTGGTTTTTAATTGAAACAATACGGAACTTACGATTCTTGTTAAATCTTCAATAATTTAACAGACCATAATGTTATATTTGTCTGTATGCGGAACCATTCTTTCTTTACGAATGCCCCTGTGACCTATACAGGGGCCTGACCCGTCTTAACAGACTGGTATTGAGTCAATTCTGAGTCTAGATGCCTAGTCCCAAAGCAGTGTAACTTTCTCTGAATGAATGTTCGTGTGTGTTTTTCTAATAAATGTAGTAATTGAATTAGGAGATTAACCTAGATTTATTTTGTTTTTATTGCAGGAATCATTGCAGGTGGTGCTGTTGGTTTGATATTCGCTGCGTTTTTGGTTGGATTTGTGTTGTATAGAATGAAGAAGAAAGACGAAGGAAGCTACTCTTTGGAGGAACCAAAACAATCAAATGGGGGATATCAGAAGCCACGTGAACAGAAAGAGTTCTATGCATAAGCTGCCATGTATCTTCAATTAGAAAGCTGGCTATTCGTCTTTTATTTTCCGATTCTTTCCACAGTACTCAATCTGTGGCTTTTGTTGGCAAGCTAGCGAAATGTGAGACAAGCCATAATCTTACTCTGACTGTTGATCCGGCCACGAAAAGTCAGAAAAATTTTCTACACATCCCTTTGTCTGTCTGTGTGCGGTTTAAAGATTGATTTGAACTATGGACGGAGGATATGTATTCGGCTTGTTGAGGAGAATATTGCTTTAAATTGTTTGCCCAGTTACATCCTACTGAAGACTGTATCATTCCTCTAGTGCCTTTCACTATAAATGTGTATATACTAGTTAAGAGTTGTTTATTTTATTTTTTTGTGTAAATTTTGTTTGTTTTTGGGGGGATGAGGGGGTTGCTTTTTTTTTCTTTTTTTTTGTAAAGACAAATGATGGTACAAATATAGCCTGCTTATTCAACGTTCCGAATTATAGCACTTAAGCAGCAAGTATCACTGGTGCACAAAATGGACTATTTAACAAAGCATACCTCTAGCTATGAGAGGACTGTGACTCAGTGATGTTTAGTGACACCTGATGCGCTTCTATTTTACGATCAAGCGGTATGTGGGAAATTTCTGTTTTTTGTTTTGGTTTCTTCACTTGAACGTTAAACTGCCACCATTATTTATTCACTTTAACTTTTGTAGATTTTTTTTTTTTTTTTTTTTCCCTCCCATTTTTAATAGTGTGTGTGTACATATGAAGAGTTGACAATCCAGGTCATTGGATGAATGTGCATCTGTAATTACCAGTTTATTGCCAAACATTTACTGGGTTTTTTTTTTTTTTTTCTTTCCATTGCACTATTCATTCAGATCAGAAGGAATTGATCTGTTGGTAAAGGCAGGAGGGGGCACTGACATACCTTTCTGTATCCTTCTAAAAAACAAAGTGACCCAGCATGATTTAGATAGGAAGAACTAATCTAGTATTTTGTATTTTTATTTTGCATACCATAGGAATAAAGCCTTTTCCAATGTCTCCTTTCCACCCCCTCAATTTTCAGTAACACATTCAGTGATCACATGGAAACTATACTAGTAGATTTTTTTTTTTTCTCTTCAATCTCTTCTATGTATACGATGAAACTCCTACGGTTTTCTTTGTGTTTTTTAGTAATTTTTTTTTTTTTTTTTAGTTCATTGTCTCTAGTAACGTGACTTGAAAGTAAGCATGAATGTATCAGAAGTTTCAATAGTATGTGCCTTTCCTGCTATAGGACACAGTTTATTCCTTTTAGAAGGTCTGGTAGAAAAAATGTATTTACGTTGTTCACGTTATCCTGTTTGAGGGGTGGAATTATTTTCCCAGTGCTCAGAATTCTAGAATGTAAAAGATGCCACTCAATGGTGAACGCACAGGACGTATGCAAAGAGTAAAATTTGTTCTACTGAAAACAGAGCAACTCAGACATATTTTAAAAACGTGAACCTGTCAGGTTATCTACTTCAGTTAGGTTTTTTTTTTTTTTTTTTTTAATATTTTACATAGAGGAGAAATTTATAGTTTCAGTTACACGCTGCATAAAGCACAAGTGTTGAGGTTGTTGTGCATTCGTTGAATAAAACAAAACTATAATTGGGAGACTTTACAACTGGCTTTGAGGCTTTCTTCTGTGTATGTCCTATCGTACACTTCAAAGAACCTAAATAATTACATACCTGAAGTGCCATATTTTTCTCTTTTCTTTCTCTTTTCAGACAAGATGGGACTTCCCCTCATATGTTTTATATACTTTAAACCATTGCTATAGTGTATTAAGTGGTGATATTTCAATTGTAACAGCCGTGATTAGGCTCAGAACTAGCAATATTTAATATTGGCTTAAATTGAACTTTGTAAATTACGGAGAGCATAAACCTGTCTTAATTTATGACTATTCTCATTGTCATGGCTTCCTTAAGCCCTCTGACCTAACCTTCTGCTAGTTGTCTTTCATACATTAGCTTTGTCCATGCAGCCAAATGGCGAACATTTAAAAGTGCCTTATTTTCTCTTGTGATTAAGAGGCTCAGTAACACAATGATGCTATAGGTCCCTTCCATGTTCTTGTGCCATAACTGTAGCTCCGTTAGAACTGAGCTGCAATGCATGGAACCATATGGTGTAGCAATTATCTGATTTTTAATTTAATTTTTTTTTCAGAACCTTTTAATTTACATGACTTTTTCTGTGTACTTTACCTTTTCTAACCCTTCCACTTGCACAAGTTGGTGGTGCAAATTCAATGTATAACTTTTCATCTGCAGTAATCCAAAATACTAATCTATTGGCAATAAAGAATATAACTTGATGGGCTTCAATGTTCCCTTCTGTTAAAATTACCCTCCCTTCTCAACTTTGGTAAGTGTCTATGCCTGTACGTAAACTAAACATTCTGAGAACTGTGCATGGGAGGGAGGGGGATGGTAGTAAAGGTTAATTTGGATTTTGACCATCACAATAACATGGATAGCAATCAGAATTTATTTTGATTGGAAGGACTTATAATAATAAAAAAATATGCAATAATCTCATAAAATGGAAACTGGTAAACCTTTTCTATTAGACGGTGTGGTTTGAAAAATAATTTTTGGAACAATATATTTTAAGTTAACACCGTGTTTTTTTTTTTTGTTTTTTTTTTTGTTTTTTTTACTGTAGTTTGTTTTTGTGCTGTTGTGGATTTCTCCCCCCCACATTTATAGAAGTCGTCAAACAAAATTAACATACTGAAGAATGTTGTATCTCGGTGTCTTTTAGTTTTTGTTGGGCTCCATTTATGATTCAATTTCATTGCCATGTTTAGTAAAGCCCTTTTAAAACATTCCTGCCATGTTTGTTCTTCAAACTATTTCATATTTCTGGAATAATCTAGCCTTAATTTATTTATTCCCATCTCATACAAAAATTTAATTTGTACCACCTATACATTATACACTTCAGAGATACTGACCTTTTTGACCTTTTTGTAATTTGTTGTAAAGTTACACATGCAATAAAATGAATGTCAAATCTCGACTAGTTGCTTTGTAAGTCTGTTCTTGAACTATATTAAATGTTTACTTCTTAATCACATTAATCAGACTCTCTGCCCTGTTTGGAAGTTTTGCAAGGTGAGGAGATCTTATAACTGCATGTGTGCATTTGGCATGCCTGAGTTTAAATTTTTTTTTCAGAATTCCTAGGGATAGCACACTGGTTGATTAGATCAATATCCTATAAGGAGTGGGTGTGGAAAGCACAAGAAGCGGGTAAATATGAAGGGGGAAAAAAAATCAGATTTACCTGTTTTTTGTCAGCCTGCTGAGTGACACAACTATTTCATTCAAAGTTAAAGCTTTTAAATGAGGCAGTTGTCTCAAAACGATACGTCCCAGTTTAAAGGGATATTCCAAGCATCAAGGCTATCAATTCTTCTTGCGTTGGTTATGGTCAAAGATACAAAAAGCTTCTTTTCATCATAAGATAATTGTAAGCGTATACTATGGTTGTTTGAGAATAGAAACTGATCTATTCATATTTCCAGGGCAGGAAAAAATGCACACTTGCTGTAACTATTGTTGGAGGGTTGCATAACTTTTTTTTTTTTATTACTTTTTTTAAAAAAATTTTTAGGTTCTGTTGGTAAATGAGAGATTTATCAAAGTTTTATATTCTAAAATGCAGTGTCTGGTTTAATTCTTGATTGCACGCATTAATTGTTCGACCACTTTTTAGAACAGAACCGATGATAAAGTAGAGCTTCAATATTCCATGTTAAAAGGATGCAATGCAGTTGTCTATTCATTAAACTGAATTGATCAGGGATGTGGATATATCTAAAAAAAAAAGTCAAATATGCAGAACCATGCACTTTCTAATGAAGGCCTCAAAAAAAGCTGCACAGTTGCTTGCTCATAAATTCTTTAAACAAAAAAAAAAATTAGACTTTACACTCTCCAAGGAAAACTCTGATTGCAAAGCCCAACGAGTGAAAACATACAATCCCTGTTTTACCAACCACAAAATCCAATTAAACACCACCCCTTAGACTCAGAAAAATTCATATCGCAAGGTATCCAGTATGTATCCATAAAACAATACACTTAATCTTACTATCTCGGAATTATCGTTGCTCGAAAATACTTTGGTCACTTGAAAGCAGATATAAGCCTGTATATCTGATGGTAATAAACTCTGAATATTTATATAAGTCCTTTTAAAAGCACAATGTGATGCTTAAATTCTTAATCTACAGAAGCTGGTTTTTTTTTTTTTGTTTTTTTTTTAAACTGAAGTGGTTACCAAAGTGTGTGGGGTGTTTTTAATCCCATGAAAGGGTACATTGCCCAAACGGACACCTCATTTAAACTAAATGTAGCATTTAAACTGTTTACAAAGTTTGTGAGTCCACCAAGAATAGAGATTCCCACAATTGTAGGATGAATCACATTGAGTTTATTTGGGGGGGGAGGGGTTCAACTTTCTTTTTGAAAGGTCTCACGGCCCATAGCTATAAAAGGTATGTACTGGCACTCAATAGAAATGTTCTGTATTGGTGGCAGGACCCAGCTGAAAGGTGTTGTGAAGACTATTGCGGTAAGACTGCTACATGGATATGGAGTCTGGGGCCTGTATCCCAGGATGGACTATGCAACATTGTTGCTCTATGTAATAAACCATTACCAGACTCATTAGCCCTTTACCTCTTCTGTTAACGAACATTGGCTTGTTCACTTTCTTTTCTATCTAGATCTAATTAGACTTTGACCATATCGATACTAGACAGACCTTTTGTTACCCTAATTAATTTCCACTCTAGCTTGGGTCTTACTGTTCTGATAAGATGGGATCCATGTGATTATCATAATCTTTGTATAAGTTTACAGTCCATTATATCAGTTTTATTAAATCCCCTTAACGCTGGTACTTTAGTCTCCAATTAATTTAGATATTGACTTTAGTGCTGGTTTTATGATCTCAGAAGTGTACCTGTTTACATTATGGGCTCTCCGTTTACCACAACTTTTAAAATCTTAACCTAGCATACAATCCTTATTATTCACTAAAATATGATTTGTTGGGAGGTAAAGGTTTATTCACTACATTGTATGTGGAAAATCAAATTGTTTTATTTCCATGGTAGCGATGACATGACAAGCTGAATGGAGAGTTTTCCAAATTCGCTGTTTTTTGCCAAAAAATTGAAAACTTATTTTTCAATTCATTACAATCTGTTAAGTTAACCAGCTCAAAGGTGAATCTGGACTTTAACGCCAAAATAGCTGATCTGAAATAATAGCTGACTTTCCAACAATTCACACGTTAGTAAATATCCCTCAATTTAGAAAAATGCAAAATTCTTGGCTAAGACAGAAATTGCAACACAAGTCTGACTCATGTAGATTCTCCTTTCTTTACAGCTTAGGGCAGACTAGATTGGCTGAACGGTTCTTATCTGCCATCTCACATTCTTTGTTTCTTAGCGTACTATATTTGTGTCTTATGTTCCAATGAAAAGCGGGAAGTTGTAAGAAGACTGACAGTGATTTACCTCCCATAGGTTAGTCATTGATACCCTGAGGACGTATTCCCTATGAAACAGATTTAAGGTGTGTTCCCTTTGCATTTTGTTAACCTGGGGCCGGGAGCCCTTGGCTAGGGAAAAAACAAACCCTTTAAGTTAGTTGGAACTGGTTTGATGTTCTTTCCAATCTTCATACAGAATTCTGCAGATGTGTAATGAACAGTCAAAAACAGTGTATTCAAAATACAGAAAGGAAGTTTTCTGTCATGAGAAATTATAAAAATATAATTTTTTTTGCTGCTTTCTTGTGTTTTTTAAGACGTTTACTAATTTTCTCTCTTCCTATTTAATACATGTATCCCACATTCTGCTTTCTTAGCTTGTTCCAAACTGCAGAAACTAGGATGTAGCAGTTTTGCTCTGAATGTTACAAGTATAACTAACCTCCATTGCCACATCATGTATTTCTGTGGAAGTCTCAGATGCTTTTGTAAGGTGGTGATAGTCACATACTTACGGAGATCATTGTGTTCAGTACAGCTGGCGAGAACTCTCCTCTTGCACAAACTTTTGAACCTTCAGGATTAAATAGTGGCTATTAGATAAATAGAATGAAAGCCCCCTAGGACACATCTGAAAATGGGCATAAACCACATGCGACTTCCATGGCTAAATAATGATCTTATTCTTTGAAATAGGGTGCAAGTGCATGGTCTTGGACAAGAAGTGGTGGGTTCCACTGGATGTGGATTAAGAGCAGTCTGCGTGTTTCCGTTACCCAGGGGAAAGCACTGACTGCCCTTTACCAGTATTTCCATTGAAATACTAATGCTTTAACTACAAGGACAGCTTTTACAATTACTTAAAGGCTATCAGTCAGACTAATAACTGATTATTATTTAGCGCCAACAAATTCCGTAGCGCTGTACAATGGGTGGACTAACAGACACATAATTGAGATCAGACCACTGACGTACAGGAACAGAGGGGGTTGAGGACCCTGCTCGATGAGCTTACATGCTAGAGCTATTATCAACCCCATGATCATTATTAAGAGCAGTCTGCGTGCTTCCGTTACCCAGGGGAAAGCACTGACTGCCCTTTACCAGTTTGAACTGCACTTTAACCATTAATACAACTTGCACAAATGATTTCACAGGTTTTGAACAACAATGCCTTCTTGGAGAACATCTAGACAGGGGTAAATCCACCCTGTACAGACTTCTACGTTATTTAGTACAAACTGCATCCTTGCAGTTTGTAGTAGACTGGGAGGAGGGCTTAGGGGAGCACTTTTTGGAAAAACAATTGGAATGTTTGTTTGTTAGCACATGTCTTTTCTGGAATCTAGCTATAAACTCCTCACTCGTTGGTATAGAACCCAGGTGGTTCTCTGGCATGTAGGGGGGACTGTTTACACCAATGGTCCCCCTACATGCTGGAAATGCTGTTGTGATGAGGGCACCCACCTCCCTATATGGTGGACTGTCCACTGATTGAACCCTTCTCCAAATTCATGCAAGGGGAAATGGCTAAAATATTGGGCGTAGCTCCCACTTTCACGCCTGAATTTATGCTACTCTACCAAACTCCCCTCTATCTAGGGAAATAAAAAACAAAAAACAAATATACACTTAATGCTGCAAAGCCCTTGTGCGATGGACTGCCTGGCACCCTGACCGGGTACCTCTAGCAGTCGCTGCTTCCTTGTACTTGTGAGCACCGTAAACCCCCCACAAAACGATGTAGCTTGTTTGGGGGTCTCGCTGTCTTCTACCCACCTTGGACCCAAGACCAGGATCCAGTTTCCAGTGGGTAGACCTCTCCTAGTCCAGAGAGCAAAGCAGGCTGCTCTTACACGAGCAATCGTGATCCGAGTATAGTGATTATAGCTCTCCAATCTCAAAAACATGAGCCTAGACTTCATGAAGGGTAAAACTAGCCTTATATGCAGGTCTCCATGCATGGGGCACTCCCCCATGGACCTGAGCATAGACTACAGTAAAAACATACACACGATTACATTGGCTCTCAGGTCCAGGACACTCCCATACAAAATATGTCAATGTGAGGTAATTGAGTCAGCACTGTATAAAACTCAATTATGTCCAGGCACAGAAAACATACATTACAAAACCCCCAAAATACCTTTAAACTCACAAATCCCCACAATAGTTATATCCCCTGATAGCCCTGATCTGGGTAACCAACATATCCAAAAATCACCCAGATCGGTTCAGGAATTTCCTGGAAGTCATAATTTGACCGACCGCACGCATGGTCCCATGCCGAAAATAGTTCCAAAGAATCCCGGCTAAGTGCCGCTGGGGACCGTCCTGGAACCGCAAAGTCTTCATGACGAAAATAGTTCCAGGGCATTTGCGGCTGCGGTGTTCGGTTCTATGCGCATGAGTGGAAAGTGGCGAATCAGGAATAAAATATGGGTCTTTACAGTCGCTGACCTGGCCCATAGTCGGAGGGTAGGAGGCCAGCTTCCACACTCCTCCGTTAGTCCGTGACAAACGTCTGTGGAAA